ATGTACCCTCTTTTAAAGTGAATGCATAGCCAAGATGACCCTGACATCATCAGGAAACCAGTGACACTGTCAGGACAGCCAACTTGCACTGGCAGAGGGCATAAAGGTGTCTAAGTAGGGAGAATCCTGGCAGTGACTAAAATGACTGGGATCAAAGGGAAGACCCATCACCCCCCACCAAAATGCCATTCCTCCCCCTGCAAGGGGTCAGTTTGTCCACTGTAGCTGTTCTGCACATGGTCTTGTCATTTGTAAGCACCCATAGTACTCTCACTCATGAGTGTACTGAATGTCTCCTAGTCCCTAGCACACCTTTCTGACATCCCCAGGACTCAGGAAAGAATGTTTATCTCCTCTCTACAGAGGGGCATTGAAGCACAGGGAGATGAATGATTTGTCCAAGACCATACTGGCAGGCTGTGGAATCCCAGAGCTTGAATCCAGCATTCCCAAGTATCAGGACAGAACTGCAGCTGCTAATGAGAACCAAGAAAATTCAAAAAATGCAAATGAACCATCTTGAGAGTTTTATAAGTGAAACTCCTGCTGCAGGCATGAATGGAGGAAGTGCAGACTCCAACAGGCAAATTCTTTGCCACCCCATCTCCTGAGTCCCAGAAATCCTGTTGATCTGGGCTAATAAATTTCCACAAGCCCTAGACGTTCTCTTGGCCTTCATCCCAAGCTCACATAAGAAGCTATTTCATAGGCAAGGTTCTTATTTACAGTTACTCAACTCCCGTAATATTTTATCTAAGGTGGCATTTTTAACACTCCCCTCCCCAATACTGGATGAACTGTCTCTTTCTTTGCTTTATAGGTTTGTAACTAATCTAGTTAAAATCCCATAAATATTGGGATGTTTCTGTGCTCCCCATTCAGACAGGAGGCTGGCTGAGGAAAAAGTCCATTAGCATTAAAATGATGGTGACATCCAGGCTGAAGCTGACAATTTATTCATTTTTTAAGTCTACTGTCATCAGGCCAGCTGCCCTTCAGGAGCTGACTGTGCATCAACTGTGTAGCCTCCCAAATGCGCAATACTCAGGCAAGGGAGTCCTGCCATAAAATCCAGAGAGTCACAAGTCCTTGCCAGGTCACACAGTGGGTTAATGTGCTGGTTTGCTACCCCTGGGAGACCCGAGCTGGAGTTTTTGTTTTACTGCAGACCTGTGTGCCACTAACAGCAAAAAGGAGGTCATAAATGCAGGGGAATGGGGCGCCAGGGAGCAGCCGGCGGAGCAGGGTGCCTCAGGCCAGCGCTGCTGCTGGAATCAATGAATCTCAGTTTGGGTCTAAGATGGCTGGGTTTGCTTGAATCGGCTCACAACTAAAGCACGGTACAGAGGCGTGAGCAGGCCATATTGAAACATGGCCTGTAGTTCAGCTTGCAAAGAAAGAGTTGCATTATTCTGCCACTTCTCCTGGACGTGCAGTGGCCACTAGTGCTGTTGTGGCAATACCAGTGCTCAGCATAGGAGCCCCCTTCTCTTGGTCCCCTCCTTTCCAATGCTCCTAGGTGCAATGGGTTGGCCTATGCATCGTATTTGTCAGAAAAGGAGCTTGCAGACAATGAAGCTGTGGCCAGGGCTCAAAGGCAAAGCAGCCCAGCGTCCCTGTGCTGGAAGGCTCCAGTAAGGAGAGGTGCTGAGCTGCTTTTACTAGGATGTTGCTGTCCTGCACTGAGCAGGTACCCATGGGATGGCCCCATCCCCTTGTGTCACCAAGATGGCAGGTCACCTGTAGTCAGGGAAAGATGACCTCTGCAGGTGAAGCTGCTGGGAAAGCACAACCACCTCACTAGGACTCCAAGTTTTATTCACACACTGAGATGACTATTAAATTTTATATAGAGAGCGCTATATTTAATCATAGAGTGCTTAGCCAGCCCCAATACAGAATTCTACTTCCTAACTCTACTTTCTTGGACAAAAACTTTCCTGAGAAGTTAGTCAGCCCATGAATCCCCTTTTAAAAGTTAATCTTTTTTCTTCAAGAGTTAAAAAGCTGCCAGCTGTTTAATCAGATTATCAAAATAAACTCACTTCTCAGCCAAGCATAACTTCTGAGGAAATCAGAGAGAGGCAGATGCTGCCACCCATTCCTTGGGAGCTCTCCAGAAACTCAAGTGTCAGTTGTTTCAGTTCATTAATGTGTGTCAATTAATTAATGCCATTAATTTTGACCAGATAAATCAGCTTTAACATCAGTATAATCACGATCAGAAGCTAGTGCTTAGATAAGACCTCAGCCAAGATCAAGGCTAACATGTAAAAGAATCTCCCTGTATGTGGAGGTCCTTTGCCCACCATCCCCATCAGTATCTCACAGATGTGAGAGGTATGTGGGGAGGGCTCCGTGCATTTTGCTTTCCCCACAGCATCTGGTCCCTCTCACCTTTTAGGAACATGCACATCCAGGATCTTAGCTGTGGTCCTGAGCCACAGCTCTGAGTCGGTATCAAACCATAGGCACAGCACACTGGCCTGTGGACCCACCTACCCACGCTTGCCCATGCACAGGGTTTGCTGCCCCACTCTGCTCACTCCTGAACTCTTTATTTCACACCTGACCTTTATCAGCAACACCACTCTTCTGCAAGAACTGCCACCTTGACGGTCCCTTTCACTGGCTATGTGAGAAAACACTTCTTACCCCATATCCTCACCAACCACCTAGTCCTCTATTTTTGAAATATGTAAGACCTGAAATGTAGAATTTGGGGTTTTACACCAGCTAATATTAATAGAAACATTCTCAGGATTTTTTTCCCCCAATGTAAATGGAACACTTTTATTTTTTTAAGCATGCCCCTGCGGTGCTCACAGGCCAAACACTGCAGCATTGTACCTGCCTGGGGAGCTTGCTATAAACACATCTGTCTAGCTGCTCTGTCAGGCCCACTGAGCTCTCTATAAACGAGGAAAAGTAAACCTGTACATTAAATATTTACTGTTTTCAGCATGTATAATCTAAAAGTGGTTTTAGCAGCACAAGTAAGGCGCAATTTTAATCAGTGTTTTTTATTTTGACATGGCACTGTTAAACACTGTATGGGTACATCCTAAAAAAGCCCATTCCTTGAAACCAGACGCTTTCCTCTCACAATTGGTTACAAACATGATTGCTCTTTATCACACACTGCTCACCTAAAAGACCCATCCTATCTCCCATTTTTCTGCTCTGATCCCAAATTATTAAGTAAGTCTAAAAGCTGAGCTTGTGGGGAGCTTCAGAAGCAAGACTCCAGGTTAGGCAGTGAGAGAGGACAGTGACAAACGGGTAGCTGACTGTGTACAAAAGGATACAAATGAGTGAAAGGAGTTAAAAGAACAAAGACAAAAGCAACATTTCTGAAAGTAAGTAGCCGCCAGCCAGCCCTAATTTTCTGTTATGATTAACAAAACAGCTAGCTTTTAATACTTGCTCCATGCTAAAGGGTTCCTGCCTTCATCTCAACACAGACAGCAGGAGTCATAATTTCTGTACAACAACAGGAAAAGAGACGTTAAAGCAATCATAAAAAAGTCTCCCAACCAAAGTAGTCTGCTGATAGCCCCTGCTAACCTTTTACTTCCTGAGGACACCAGTCCCTGGGAAAACAGCAGGCAGGCTTCCTGGCTGACTCACAGAGATGTCCTTCTCCCCAAGGGTCTGTGCAAGGCACTGGGCTCCTTGCTCCTGACTGCTGCGTGGAGCCCACATGGGACCCTTTCACAGAGCAGCCCACCAGCTCTTGCCAGTTGGCTACCTCCAGTTTTAATTTAGCGCCCAGCAGAGATGAGGAAGAGATTCCATTCACAGTTTCTTCTTCACTCCCCTAGAAAAATCACCCCAACCAGCTCCATAGAGTAAGACACATCTTTTGGATCTGGATGATAATCAAGTCTAGAGACAGTTTAGCACTTCTCCTTAATTGCAGGCACGCAACACTGGGATGGGCAGCTACTTGCACATTCTTGGATCGTAACTCCGTCTCCACAAACATTCTTAAAGCAAATACATGATCTGTTGGCTGCCTGCAAGTCCTCCCTATCTGCAAGGATGACATCGTGTCTACTTATTTGTCTGCTATTGATTTTTTCACTACACTATCGCAGACTAGAAGTGAGGGGCACAAGCCAGAAAATGGCACAAGTAACTGATCTCCAGCAGCAGAACAGCACTGGAGGAGGTTGTGGCTGGCTTCCTTGCACTGGTTAGCTCATGTGTGCCATAAAACAAGCATGCACAACAGAAGAACACAGCTAGATGCTGCTGTAAGGTGCTCACGTAACGTATCGGTTGGCAAAGGGTAAGAGCCCAGATGGAACAGAATGGAAATGAACAGTAACACAGCAAACACAAATAAGGTCTCACCGTGTTTTAATAGGCTTGTGTATGTAGCAGAGAATGAGTAATGATTCCGGACAAAGCCAACAGGCACCTCAGGGGATTCTGAAATTAATCCTGTGACATTTCCAGCAGCTAGCCTGGAAAGCACAGTAAGTGACAGAATTCACTGCATGGCAGAGCACATTCAGCATCCTGCCAGATCAGGCCCTCCCCTCCTATTTGCATGCAAAGAAAAAAAGATATTAATCAATACTTTTTTTTCAAGAAAATAGCTACAAAAACGTGTTCTTAAAATCAAAGACTAGGCAAGTCCCTTGAATGTCCATGTATCAGCAACCAGAAACTGTTCCATCACATCATAATCAGCAGGGAGGGAGGAAAAGCATCAGAAGAAAGGCAGAGGGCTCCTGTAGCTCTGATACAGACTTACCTTAAAGAAACATAGCTGTGATTATTAGCTATAATGAAACAAAATACCTTTGGGGAAAGAAGAGTTTGCCATGTACTTCAAATGTAGAAAAATAAGACAAACAAACAAATCTGAACACACAGAAAAGAGTGTATTCTGAGGCATGCAGTCCTGCAACATGGATAAAAGCAGGAGGCAGTTGCCTCTGAGGTGCAGTTAAGCTGCAGACTGAGGCAGACAGCAGCTGACAACCATTATGGGCCACAGCCTAGAAGTGTGCTTTGATCAAGGATTTCTCGGGCACAATCCAACTGACTGCAATCAGGTTCAGGTAGCTCCAGTAACTCCTTGCAATCATGAGCAATCTTGAGTTTGCTCATTTTGTCTTAACAGATAGCAGTTCGCATGCATTGCTCCACTGGGAAATCCTGCACTCTGAGGACCAAAGTTTAAAGTTAAGAAGTTTCTTCTGAGGTCATTTGGGATGATTAACTCTCTGGGGTGGGATCTCTGTCTGGGACCTCCCTCTCAGCTGATACCAGGAAGGGACCTGTGTATGCTCCTGATGCCTTGGCCTCCTTCACCAAGCTCATGAGACACAGCTGTGAAGATTCTTTGTCTAGAATATATGAAGATGTCAGGCTATATTGCTATCATTTGCAAGCTACATGACTACATGGAATGAAAACAACAGACATGACTAAGAAATCCATGTCCAGCCAGGTACCCTCTAGGACAACCTGATGGGATTTTTTTGTGTCATAGAGAGCCAAAGACTGTAATAGTCTTTTAATTGCAGACTTCAGTTATAGGGATGAGCTTGATGCAAGTAGCATCTTCTGAATGTAGTCTAGTGTTGAAGTACAGATGCATGAGAGTAGGTGAATACATATTATGTAATCCACCTATCTCACTGAGGAAACGGTAGTGGCTGGTACTAAAATAAAGTTAATGCCAGATCCCTGAATGACAGTGACAAAAGGTACTTTGAGCCTAGGAGGAACTAAGCAGGAGCTGGCTGAACTGCTTTGCATTTCTGCATCCAGCTTGGGGTGAGAAAGCCATGCAGTACGTACTGCCGGTCAGCTGTTCAACAGGGACACACAGACCGTCAGTAGGGATGCTTCTTGCCTCTGTTACGCTGCTACGTCCTTTCATCTGTGTAACGGTGCAGTTCACACACTGAAGCAGCAATGAGCACAACTGAATGCTACATCAAACTTTCCTTCTCTGCTTCCCTGTGGGGTTAGGAGGCTCACAAGTACCCCTTCCACTTTCAGACAACTGGAACCTCTGTGACACCTTGACAGCAGTGAGAGGAAAATGCAGCACACCTACAAAGCAAAGTGCCTGTCTGTGCACAAATGTTGCAAAGCAAACCCCCCTCCCGCCCCAAAATATTAGAAAGCACAGGCAGGGCACAGACTATACAAAAACTGACAGGCATGAGCATAGCTGAAGGGAGAGCAGTAAGGAAGAGGAAGAAAACAAATAGGAAATGCCATACTCAAAAGAATTCAGCATAAATTCTGAGCAAATCAAAGCAAGAAAAAAAATCTGAACCCACTTGAATTTTAGCTGCTGAAGCCTTCTGGCTACTCAGCCGCTCTGCCTGTGTGTCGCTATGCTTAATTTGCCCCACTGGATTTGCACCTCCTGTGAGTGACTGAGAGGAGCCATTGACTCTGGGAGGACTGATTTAGTGCCGCAGGAACCAGCGGCCTGGCAGCGGCTGCTGGAGAGGCCCAGCCTGAGGTAGGTAAACACCAGAAGAGGGAAGGCCACAGGGAAAAAAAGACTGGAACAAGGAAAAGCAGAAGAAAGAGGAGCGACAGAAGAAATATATGGTAAAGGATGGGCAGAAGAAAAAGAGAATGAGGAAGAGGAAATTAAACACAGTACAAAAAAGGGCTGGACGCTGGATTTAGTAAGATCTTTCTCCAGAATTCACATGATTGTAAACCTCTGGTGTGCTCCAGTTTGGTGCTGGATACTTACTGTCCGCAGGAGCACCAGCAACCAGAGGAGCCTCCATCCTACACAGCACTTCTCACCACTCTGCAATCCCTATGCAAGGCCATGAAAAACCGACACTGGGTGGAAGGAAGATAAACCAGTTATTTTTTCTTGATTTGTTTCTCTGGAAAGTCCTTTCCCTGGAGAGACACAGGCCTGTAAAAATGACAGGATATACTCAGTAAATCTGTAATACCTGCTACATAAGCCAACTGTTTCAAATTTCTGCTTTGCATTAGCCAAGCTCCCAGCAGACTTTACCAGACAAACAGCGATTGCCTGTGGCACATAAAGTGAGGAGCCAGTAAAATACTACTAATGACGTAAAGCAGGGAGTATTTCCCAGTTCACTCAGGACAACAAAGGTCTGGAACAGTACGTTACACTGAACAAATTCTAAAAAAGGAAGATAATCCACATTTTTTCCTGTTTCCTGACATATCCAGGAGATGTAGGCACAGCCTGGAAGGTAAACGCTAGGTCACTGGTTCTGACAGGGAAAATCGTGCAGGGAAAGCCTATGAAAGGGTCACAGTCTAACCTGAACTCCAAAGAGACTCAACCCATCTCAAGTGTTGTCAACTACTTGAAATTCAGGACAGGTTTGTTAAAAGGTGCTTCAAAGCTTTCAAAGTGACCTTTTTCTGAGCAAACGTAGGTTCAGTTACAGTTTCCCATCAGCGTTGTGTGGATGTGTGGTAAGACACAAAACCAAGTGAGAAAAGGCGCTATTCATTGACTTTTCCTGTGGCATTTGCTGAATGTTGTGAAAGTCATAGATCAAAGCAAAATGCTTGGTGCGTGTCCTTAAATTAGATGTAGTTAAATAAACTAATGTTTGCATAAATCCCTGAAAAGCAAAACTGGCGAATTTAACCACACATTGGTGTGCTAGCTTCTTCTGGAATTTCAGAATTTTTGAGAATTTTTCAAAAATTTCATTAACTGAGGGGTGTTGAATTGCAAACCTGTTCCTCCTGATTGCAATGCTGCTGTGTAGAGAGTCATCCTGGGAAAAAAGTACGAGTCAGATTCTCTATCTAAAAACCACCTTAGAGTTTTAAAACTAGATTACCACAGAAAAAAACATACAGCTATAAAACCAGGGGTAGCCTGGCGTTCTGGAGAGCTTGGAGTCTGGAAACGGGATGGAGCCCTGCTCCTCCTCGTCACCAGCTGGGGCTCAGCCAAATCAGTAGGGATGGAAAGTCATTACTACCATTATTGGCAGCCATCTAAGTTCGCCGGTGGTCTCTGTCCAATTCTTAATGGATGCATAAAATACCTCCTGCCATCAGAAATGGCACTAAATGGTATATATTGGCAGCCTTACGAGATAGCAGTGTGTAACTAAAGACCTTTTCAGCTATTGTCCTTTCTGGTCAAATCTCGAGGCATACAAGTGATGAAGAAAACCACTGCTGCCTTCTGAAGAGCAAGTTCTGGGCAAAGGAGTGCCCTAAGCTTTCACCCCATCACCTTTCCCAAACCACAAAACCACCACAAAGTAAAACTTCGATCTGATTTACTTGAATTAAAAGAAGAACACGAACAGAATATAGTGTATGTGCGTGTGTGTGAACCCACAACGGGAACACTCCGTCGGGCCTGGCCTGGGCACGGGCCTGGGCGCCGCCGGGACGGGGACGGCGGTGGTGGGGGCAGGTCCCTTCTGCCCGGCACGGCCACCGCCGCGGGGACATCCCGGCCGGAGCGGGGGCCGGGAGCGGCACCCTCGTCCCCTCCGACGGGACACCCCTCGCCCTGCCCCCGTCCCCGGGCTCACGGCATCACCCCGC